TTTATTATTATTTTTATTTTTTTTTGATTCTTCACTAAATTCCTTGTCTTTGGCTGGAAGGAAAGTTGCCTAGTGCAGTGTGGGGAAAAAAAGCAAGATTTTTACTGTAATGATTCATAATAGGCAGGTGAGGGTGTTTTTTTTAAAAAAAACAAACAAACAAAAAACAAAAAAAACCACCTCATGCTCCATGCAACATTATACATAGGTACTATTGAAGGATGTGCAAGGTCCTAATTACAAGGACCAAATTCCTTAACAGACCCCCCCCAACTCTATGTTCTCTTACCTGTCAGTTAATGAAAAGCATTTTGTTAGCATTCAAAGTATAGGAAATGAATCGGATGCTAGTGGAAATTTTTTCCACTTTTTTTTTCTGGCAGTCTGAAGTGTGATAAAAGCTAATGGGTAGATGGCAGTTTCTTTGCAAACAAGACATCTTCCTCTCTGAGTTCTCCCTGAAATCCCCCCAACTCTATGTTCTCTTACCTGTCAGTTAATGAAAAGCATTTTGTTAGCATTCAAAGTATAGGAAATGAATCGGATGCTAGTGGAAATTTTTTCCACTTTTTTTTTCTGGCAGTCTGAAGTGTGATAAAAGCTAATGGGTAGATGGCAGTTTCTTTGCAAACAAGACATCTTCCTCTCTGAGTTCTCCCTGAAATGCACAGTAGCTATATATTATAGGTTGTGTACCTATTAAGGATTTAAAGCTCTAAGTGGAATGTTTCTGGAACATCTTGAGAGACAATTTGTACAAGGCGGACTTGCAGTTTAACTTCATGTTTGCTTATATTCGAAATGTAATGTAATAAATTTTGGTCTGTGGTCATATTTCTGCAAGATACCACATCATGTTTATGAAGCTGCATAACACATTACAGCTTTCCAATGGGAGACAGAATTTACTAGTGCTTTTTTAGTTCTGATTTAGATAACTTGCTAAATTATAAATCTACTTAATTATTATTAAAAACAAAGGGAAAAAGGAAAGAAATAGAAAGGATATGGAAACATTATATAGCCAGATTAACGGACCAGCTTCTCTGCCTCCAAAATAAGTATAAAGCTCATTTTACTCACTGGAACTTGGAGTTAGCAGAGTGATACTGAGAAATGAGCTTTTTTAAATTATTAATCTGCTTTGCTTCTTGCAGCTAAATTCTTGCACCGATTCAATTTGAAGTTTTGTTTGCACTGGATGGTTTGGACAACCAGATTTCGGAAATTAATTTGCCAGTAACCCTTTCAAAGAAATGTGTTGCTCTGTGTGATGTTTGGTTGTAAGCACATGCATCAAATGATGCTTTCTTTTCACTGGAAAAAACTGAGCAGTGTCTGTCAATAAATGGATGAACTGAAACTTGCGGTATTTCTGCTAGGCATTAGAAATTTAACAGTGATAATTCAGTTCTTGCAGTTTACAGGATATAAATCTAGTGCTAGTTCCTCTAGTGAGATTTTTGGATTATTAGAGTTTTCTTCAATCCGGACCTCAAAAGGTCAGGACAGTTTTGTTTTTTTTTTTTTTTTTTTAAACAGTATCTACATTATAACATTACAATGTGGATACTATTTAAACAGATTTAAGATTATTTTTACACATATTGATGCAAACTGATTTGCTCTGTAAGCAAGTTAGTTTTAAATGAGTATAAATGTGTCCCTGTAATGACGTTCATCTGTTTATCCAAACCCTCTTGTGCTGCAGGTATGTTCTTTGTGTGAGCAGGTAGCAGGTGTATTTTCCCCTCTCCCTTCCATACAATTTTTAAGAAAGCACTCTTGAATTTCACCAGATGCATCACTTTAGGGTTTGACTGCACAGCTACTGAGAAAATTAACCCTATAACTGGAGTATGCCATACTGGGCACTGAAAGCAATGCATTTTACTGGATACTCGAAGGAAAAAAAACCTTGTGCACTGATCATTACCTGATTGTATAATGGTTACCTAGTGACAGCATTTGGCATATAAGCTAAGTTCATGACATATCTTCAGTTAGTTTCACCTTCTAAGACTATACTACCAGTAAAATTCATCAATCTTGAAATCTAAACTGCACAAATTTGCTTGAACACTTAACATATGGTCATCCAAACTGTATTGGCTTACCAGTGCAAACCAAGTGGAAATCCTGCCCTGCCCTTCTGTTGTTGCTCCCAACATGTTAGAGTAATTTCGACCCCCCAGCCCTCCCTTCTCCCTAAGGTACCTACTTCTCACAAATATTGCATTGTTGACTCTTCTGTTAGAGAGTGGATCTTAATTTATGGAATTGCTTTACCTCAAATAAGTGACAGCATACAGTATTTTCTAAAGTCTGAGTCAATTAGGTTGAAACTGTTAATCCCAAGTGGCTTCCTTTTCTTTGTATTTGGCTCTTATTCTGTGAAAATGCTGCTTGTCCATGAATATGATGTATGTTGAGACTGTAAAACCAAATGGAGAAAACTTGTTCAAAATAAAGCCTTTTTTTATAAGAATATAACAAAAAATTATCCCTTTCCTTTAGATGGGATGCTGATCTCTGAATGATGAATGAGGACATAGACTACAAGTTTTTAGACCTGGTAGAGCATGTTGTCAACTGAAAAAAAAAAAAAAACAAACCAAAAAAAACAACCAACAAACACAGAAACCAAAATGATACCCAGGCAAGCCCCTTGACCTTTCCATGTTTATTTGATGAAGTATCAAAATCAAAAGAGTGCAACTTGGAGTTGGGGGTTTATTTTGGTTTTATATTGGTAACAGTTCTGGCTGCAGAATTTTGGGTGTTAGTGGCAATGGACACAGTTGTTAGAACAGCACCTTAAGCTGGATATACTATCAGTAATATATTAGAAACAAGACTGGGGGCTTGGACATTAATCACCTGCTCCAAATGCTGGTAACTGCTGCACTGGTGGCTGCCCCAAAAACCAGTCCCGTTCAGGAAGAGTCAGAATCGGTGTGCGCTCACCTCAACTGGTGAGGCAGTAATGCCGAACAGGTAAGGCTGTCCTAGGAGACAGCGTTTGTGGCTGGAGTAATTTGCCATTTATTGTAAGGATGGAGCCAAGCTGTATGGCTGTAGAGCACAATTTTACCTCTGAGTGCATGAATTTCAATTTTGGAAAAAAAAATCAGAATTGAAGCCAAATGTCTGTGGAATAAATCAATACGTCTTCTTGTTGAAATGAAAACAATACATTCAAAAACTGCACAAGTATTTCTCAATTCATCTGATTAGCCAACGTTACTTTTTATACAAGCGTCTCCAAATTATTTTACTACTTGCAGCATGCATTTTGTTTAATTCACATACAAGGAAAGTGGAACATGTCTCTAAAACTATGTGGTCAATCCTTCCTTGTCAGCAATGTGTTCATCAGTCATAAACATCTAACCCTTTGTTAATACATGTCAGGTTCTATTTCTTAGGAAATTGGAACCTTCAGTAAGAAGAAGTGCTAGTAGAAGGACACTGCGATCCTGTACTGCACTCCTGTAGTGCTGCTGCTGCAGCAGCAGAACCATTTTAGCATGTCCTTTTCCCCTAGTATGGCTGCTGGAGGGTACTTCCAAAAACGTTTTTAATTCAACTGATCTAAAGTTTCAATTGTAAGTTGAATTTGTGGCATCACGTTGAATGGTGGAAGATAACAAACCATATCTGCTGCCAACAGACCAGCTCTGGTAGCCAGTGGCTTCATTTCGGTCTATGCAAAGCGGGCAGTGAAGGGTTTGCTCACCTCTAACTGTTGGGTTGCAAATGCCTACTTAGGAGTACAATAATCATGGGGTTCAATGTTTTTTTTTTTCCTAATTTCAGTTTTGGTGTTTGCTTTCTAACTAGATCGTTCTGACAGGACCGCAGGCAAGCTACTTGTGTTTGTGCATCAGCAGAGCAGAAAGGTGCTAAGTTGTGATGAGATGGTGGGCATGCTGGGGACGGTAGCTTCTTGGGTGAGCTAGAGTCCTGTAGTACAGCTGTAGTCCTGTAAGTACAGCTATCCCTTTGAGCTAAGTACCTTAAAAACTTTCAGAGCTCTGCAAGCTGTTTCCACTAGGAAGAGAAAATTGATACGATTCAGGTATTCCTTTGGGAAAAACCCATGCATTTTTGATAAAGGTATGCAGAGTGAACACTGTGAAATCAGTGCATTCTAGGTGACAAAAACTGTGTATATAGTTGGGTCTGGATGAAGAAAAAAGGAGTTTCTGCTCTGGTTTCAGTGAGCCACAAGACAAAGTGGGGAGAAGGGCAGCAGAGAGCAATCAAGCCGATCTCGGCTCGTCATTTTTCACAGAGAAGCCTTCAGCCTGCCAGGCTCAGGCCTGCTGTGTGCTGCCAGGACCTGGTTTGACTTTAAGTCTTGCTACCTACGCGGCTGAATACTGGAAGTGTTTCAGACTGTGCTCACTTTCTTCCTGGAGCTGTCTGGGACTGCAGCCAGGTGGAGGCAGGGAGAGAAGGAGGGAGGGAGCTGCTCCCACTGCAGCCTGTGCACCAGCCTGCCTCCTGGGCCTGGGAGCTGTGGGAAAAGCCAGGAGGAGCAACCACTCCTCCCTTTGCTGCCCAACCCTCTTTCCCTCGAGAGCTAATAACACTCGTGTCTAAGGGAAAGATGAGAGAGGACTTCACGGATCAAAGCAGTCCTGCACATCTTCCATCATTTCCTCCTTCCTCTTCAGTGAACACAAAGGGTGCTTCCTCTCTGCTCCCTCTTGTGTTGGTGGAGAAAAAAGTCCTAGAGTTACAAGAGGAGAAGAGGCTTGATAAAAGGGCTCCGAGGCAGGACATGAAGAACTGATTTCCGTACAAAGCACAAGTGGAAAGTGAGCAGGCAGCTTTACTGGCTTTGGGATTGCACACAACACCTAATTGTTGCACTGCTGGATGTAGGCAAGGGAA